AAGTGTTATAGTTAAAAAAGGGTGATCCATAATTTCAATTTCTAGAGTTTATCGCAAAATTATGTCATAAAATTGTTTATGTCCCCAATAAGTGCTTATCTTATTATTGCATGTTGCTGAATATTAGAAAAATATGTAAAATGTTGATTGCGCTTTTTACCTAAAAGTGATAAATTTTAAACTTTTTTAAAAGAATCCTGAGAACACATAATATTTATTAGCTACGTATTGACGTGGCCATATCAATAGAAAGTTTGCAGCTGACGCAATGCACATGCAACCAGGTCAAGTGTGTTCAAACAAATGCTGAATGGAAGTAGGTGTGTCCGTGATTTCCGAATTCTAAGATTTCAATAATACTGCGTATCTTCTTTATGGATGATCGCTTTAATTAAACACGAGGTTTTTTGTGGCACAAGACATCTACAGATAATACAAAAATAAAAAACACATGTTTTATGTATAAATTATTATGTTTGTATAACTCTTTCTGTTACGAACTGTTAACATTAAATAAGTCAATAAATTTTTTACCCTAAATTTTTATTAGCAATTGAGTCTTTAAAAAAATAATGTGTTCATGGAAGTTTCGCAGTTATAAAAACTCCAAGCAGTTAGTGGAAACTGAGATCGATATATCATTGCAACTTAATTGTCTGTCAAATTCTTAAAAATAACGGGGAAAATGGCGTTACATTGCATGAATAAAGTTTCAAGCGAATATAATGGCTACTGAACCCTCGGATGAGTTAATTTAATGGACCCTCATAAACATAACCACGCGTTTCAACTGACTTTTAAAAATTATACATTGTCTTAGAACGCCTGTTGTAATTTATTAGCAAATTCTCTCGTGTTAAAGATGGCTGTATTTTAAATGGCAGAAGAACTTAAAGTGGAATTTTGTGACCCACTTTTTCATCTAAATAAAATATTTTCAGAAGATATTAATTAAATTAAATTATTATGTTAATGTACAATCTTTTATAGCAAATAACCTTTACGCAGTATGGAACATCTGCGAAGCCTTTATACACTTTACATTTAACCTACCGTGTAAAAATTCGTTATAAAGTTTAAGCTTTTAGTGATTAACCTCAAATTGTGAGTGAATATACAAAAAAGCTACCGCGTTTTGGCGGGAAGAATGCTGCGTGCCAGAGAGAAATGTTTTATGACATTTTTGACCACAGGATATATTAAGCCAGTCACTGCACACTTTTGGAAGCAACATAAGATTTTTAGTCGCGATAAAATCTGTAAACAATATTTTTATACGAGATTGTAATGTTCTTTTACATTTACATAACAGTTTATTTCTTTCACTTATTTTATTAAGAAGCCACATCTCTTTCTTATTCTAAACATAAGTAACAAATTTTTCTGAATTTAAGTGGGAAAGGTAATCCTTTTTGCAGTATTTAAAACTTGCTGCTGATGTAAGAAAGGAGAAGTACCACGATCGTACCATATTGGAATTCGTAACCGCTTCCTGCTTATCTTGGTTAAAGGTGTGAATTTCATCTAATAAAAATAATAGTTTAGTAAAGAATTAAAATACTCTTAAATCATACTCCTTACTAATATTATAAATGCAAATGTTTAGATGGTTTATTAGAAGATATCTCCGGAACGGCTCAACGGATCTTGATGAAATTTGACACAGATGTAGAACATAGTCTGAATGTACACATAGGCTTAAGGTTTTTTATTCCGCGCGGACAGATCGCGGGCGACATTAGCTAGTGAATTATAAAGTCACGGGCATAGCCTATGGCTTATTAAGTGGGTCAAGCGTATAGTCACTTTATGGAAATGGGGTTCTGCATATGATATTACAAATATGACTTCTAACATAATTTTTAAAAAGATGTATTTATCAATTATTATTATATAATTTTTAAAAAGATGTATTCAACAGTGGTAGAGCCCGCTTTAACATCTTCGCACGAATTGGCCCAGCTCGTCCGGTGAAATACCACGACCACACAGAAGACAGGCGTGAAGTGGAAGCAATTCCGCGTTTCGTCTGATGAGTGTGCGTCCCGGAGGCCTAATTTAGTCCTCTTTCCCTTCTCACCCTTTTTCTTATAAGGAAAGGAGGGGAAGTGGAAGTGGACTTTCCGGATGAGGGGATGCTTGGAACTGTTTTCTTTCTGTGCATCCTCTCCACCGTCGATTAAAGGTAGGCAACGCATATCCAATTGCGTATGTCTATGGGCAACGGTCACTTCGCTATATCAGCGATTTCAGGTGGCCGCTCGCTCGTTTGCCACCTTATGATATAAAAAAAATATATATAATCATGGCGCTGCAGCCGCGGGTGTGTCTGTCCTGAACCCATAAACTCGCCAATCAGTAAAATATGACTTTTTGTTTAGTTTTTTGAAATATTGATAACTTTTGTTGAAATTGTGTCGAAAATTAGAAAATATTTTTTCCCTCGCGTATTTCTTGATTCGTCGTTATTTGTCTACAAATATATGATTTTTATCTTCAATTAGACATCGTGGATACATTTTTATTATAAGATTAATTTATCTTACCAACTTTCATTTCATTAGCCGGAAATAAAAAAGAATGCGAATGGATTAGCTTTTTTTTGCATTAAAGAGCGACAACTAATTACAAAGTACCAGTGTTACTCTTGGATGTTATGGGCATTATGACCATAAAATTACTGATTAGTTATGACGTCGTAGTTTTTGAAGTGAAGTGCTTAATTTTGTTTAGTTCTCTTATTAATTGTAATGCATGCATGACATCACAAAGACGTGTAGTTATAATAAACATACATACAATAAACTAATTCGTGTTTACGATATCAAACTTAATAGCCCTTTATTAGAGGGCAGTACTGCAGAACCCAATTTCTTTAATTTCGCAATTAACGATTGCATGTCAACAGGCTTATTACGATCCCACATGAGATGTAAAAATGTTAATAATTACATCATTAAGAGATAATAGCTGAAATAACGATGCATATTTGTTACCGATATGCGTCGATTGAGCGGGCATATAACAGGAGTACGGGCGGGAAAAATGCGCATATCGAAGTTGATTTTGCCAGGACAAAGTGGAGCACGAGTCAGTGAAAGTGCTGGGACATTCTTTCTCTCTTTCTTTCACGATTTAACGCACGGAATACTGGCCGGTGATACACACTTGTCTTCCTTAATCAACTACCAGCCGGAGTGGAGTGAGTTGCTTTTGTTTTTTTTTTATATAATCTGTCTAATTGTTAGTTGTGGTTGTGATTAATCTGTGATCCGTGTTATATAAGTAGGAGTAACTTTATAGAGACATCTTAGAGAAAGTTTTCACCGTTGTCAAAATAACTTTAAAAATTTTTGCGCATTTATTTTATACGTACACGTAAACAATATTTACTTTTTTTCTAACCTCTAAATATTGACAGATATAATCTACTGTTTATTTTTTTAAAATTGCTAATATTTTGTCCAAATAATAATCTAATTTAAAGTAAATTAAAATAGCTTTATTATCATTTTTTTGTCATTTTGCGAACCGGTATGTTCCTTATTGAATATCCACCGAGTAACATAAATACTTGAAATATCCTTGACCACGATTAACATGTTATTAAAATAAAACCTTAAATCACAAATTCCTTTACCGTTATGTCAGGAAAAATTGCTGCCAGTCGTTAATATAGCATTTAAAATTAATCGATGTTTAAAAAGTTATAAAGCTTAACGACAGGACAATGAAACTTTATCCATCTTTGAAACTGGCATGAAACAATATTTTTTTTTATCCGGCCGGTATTTTTTATCTGACCTAATTTTTTTAATCTTAAAATGTGCTAATATACAAAAGTGTTTTAGATATTTATAAATTATTTATATCATTAGAATTAATCTGATCTGTTTTAAAAATAAAAAATTACGTAAACATTTTTCTAATAGTTGGTATTTGAGGAAGATAGAATAAGTTATAGATTGGAAGTTGTTTTTAAACTAAGGTCTTATTTTAGCTACTTTCTACACATTAGATTATTATTTATAGGGGAACAGGAAAACTATGAACTCTCTATTGCTAGTAGAACGTTTGCGAGGGCGATGCACAATGCATATCAATTAGACATTCCAATTCATAATGTTGCCAACATAAAGGGTTAAGGTAATAAAGTTGGGTACTTTATGGTAATTATTTTATAGAATGCGCACTACGTGTACGACGGAAATGGTCCGTTACAATGTTCGATGTATATAAGCACAGAATAAAAAAAAATTATAAGACAGTTTTCAAAACAAATATTATCTGTGTCCGAAAATGTTTTTGACAAATTTTATTTTTATTGCGTTGTATTTTTGTCGATCTACTTGAATTATTATTAGTGTTTTCGGCATCCGCGTGAGAAAAACACGAAGGATATGCTAATTTGCTAGTGATGGGATGAGTGATCGAGATAGCGGTACTTCTGACCATTTCGGAACAGCAACGGACGCCGGCAACCGGTCTCAGTGTCCTTGATTCGAATAAAAATCTGCCGCGTATAGGGTGACCATAATATATAATAAATTAATCCAGTCGGTAAAACAGCAAAAAAGTGCAATTATTATTTCGAAGTTTACAACCCAATCTTCCCAACAAATAAAAAACAAAAAAAACAGCGACTCTTTGAGCTTCTAATGGATAGCGCCATCTGTTGACAACAATTTAAAATATTTATTTTTTATTAATATATTTTAAAATTTGATAGAGAAGATTTTAATATTATTTATTTTTTTAATTAGAACATAAATTACTCTAATTTACGTGTAATAAATATGAGGCGTGAAACAAATATTTTGGTGTAGTACTACCTATCACACTCCGGGTAAGAAAAGGAATCAATTGACATCTTACTCGTAAATATCGGTTAGGTTATAGGCCGTCTCATATATAAAATAGACTTACGCAAACAAAACATTACCCTCTTGTCCGTCGAATAAAAATATCAAGGAATCTTATGAATATAACATTTTATATGGTCACCCTACATCCACAAATTTTACTTTAATATGTTTAACTGTCGTTGTCCGAATTTGATAATTTACTGTGACCCAGTAAACGCGAAGTCCCATAATATATGCACCAAATAAGGCCTTTGTCGTATAACATTTATTATGGAATGCATTTTTACAACTTCATTCCAATACATATATTTTTTCTTTAGAATTCAGTGAGGTTTAATAACGGTAAAACTCTTTGGTGCAATTAAAATAAATATTAACTTTTGATAGGATTCCCAATGACTTTTATATTATGAAAAAGATTACGTTACCTACTTTGCACATTTTAAATTTAATTTTTTTTGTATATTATAGTATCATGTTGTGATAATTAAATATAACATTTTCGACAATAATATTATTTTTATATTTTATTACTTATATTTGTTTCCTCATTAATTATTTAATTTATTAGAGACACAGATTTTTAATCAATTTATATTTTTTGCGTATTTTAACGTTCCGTGTAAGAGTTTATAGTACGCATACTAACACATGTGGCTTAAAATTTTGACCAAAAAATTCAATAACATTAATAATTATATGCTATGTAGACGAGGATCTTTTTTGCTTTACTTAATATTGTCGTTTTCAATTTCAGAATCATGAATTTGATATTCATTTTGCTAGTCTGCGTCGGTTTATCCAGTTGCCAAACAACGGAAACGTTGCCACAAGATGGACCGCGGATAGGTCTGATAGATTGGATACACAATTTAATCGGATCTGGCACTACCACGTCTCGACCATCCACTGTAAAGCCATCGAATGATCCACCACAAGACTGCCCAACATGTCGTTAGTATTACAATGTCTATTTTCTATACTTATTGTATAAGATTCCTTCCTTGGCAGCTTGTATATATTTCTAGCAATCTACGGGAACGAGGCCTAACTGTGGGTTTCTAACCCTTTGACAAAATAGAGATAACACTATGTTTTAACGGAGATTTTGGTATCGGAAATCCACAGTAAGAGATATTGAGTCTTTAATATAAATTGGTAGCAAACTGATGAAAAGTCTTGGGGCTTTTATTTTGGCAACAAGCGCTAAACTATTGCTTGGTGACATAAAGTTAACGAATATTAGCTTAGTTAAAACGGTTAACAACATCTTAATAACGCGTTACAGGTTTCCCTACAGACCCTATTATTTATGTGTTGCATTTAATGAAAGTCTACTTAACTTTGTTAATAATTGATTCCAGAATGTGGCATCGCGCGGACGCACCGGCGTATCGTTGGCGGTACGGAGACCAAGGAGAAGGAGTACCCGTGGATCTGCGTACTGCTGTACGGAGGCCGCTTTTACTGCGGGTGTTCCCTCATCGCAGACCTCTACGTCATGACTGCTGCTCATTGTACAGCCGGGTAACTATCAAATAAGAACTTTGCATGACGTCACAACGACACGGGTTGCCGTATCGCTGTGACGTCATAGGTAAAATCAGTGAAAAAGACATACAGTCGACTTACTCTGTCGATACTCATTACACGCAAATTACTGCTTAACAGATGATTTACTGTTTGTACCTCCTACAAGGGTTTCGGTTGTAAAATCATTCGAAAACCGTAGTCTACATACACTTAAAATGTTGCAAGGGTCACAAGAATTATTTCTACTAAAATCAAATCAAAGCACACAATATAGCACAGCGAGCTTTTCTTTTTAATTTATAAATTATAATCCTACCTCCACTATCACAATACAGTCTGGTGACAATTGACAAATATTTTCATGATATATTTAAAAACATGTATAATAAAACTTTATTTTTTCAGATTCCGTAAAGAAAGAATAACAGTCCGCTTCTTGGAGCACGACCGCAACGTCGCCAACGAGACGACTACGATTGACAGAAAAGTGGCGGCCATTATCCGTCATCCCAGATACAACCCGGGAACTTATGACAATGATATCGCCATGTTGAAAGTTGATGAAAGAGTACGTATATTCAAAAATAGAACGACAAAAACAAATGAAGTTATTTTTGAAAATGTTGCCATTTTTTGGCAAATATCCAAGATGCCAATTTAATATACATTTTAACTATTCTTACTGTTTATTGGCTAAAATAGGAATGAATTGCTCGAAAATGTCAGCTTTGTTCCAATTTAATTGCGTCTTTTGATGTAACTTGACACTTAATTCTATCTAAATCATTATACTCTATCATCCACGCCAAAAATGGCTAAAAATAAAATATATAGGCACAAAATAAATAGGCACAAAGTACTACACCTTACAAGGCGTAGTATTTTGTATGTCGTAAACTTATAGGCCTAGTTATTTAACTTCGCAACTGACTACTTCAATTATTTTTTTTTGTGACTTGCAGCTAGTTTTAAGCAAAGTGATCAAGAAGTTAAGAAGTGAAGATGGTACAGAGGAAGAACAGGAACGTGGAGTAGGAACAGTTTGTCTGCCGGAGGCTGGACTCTCGTATTCAGGTTATAATGCTACTGTCGCCGGCTGGGGCACCACTGAAGAGGGCGGGTCTGTCTCTAATGTTCTTAGGGAGGTAAGATGTATTTTTATGGACAAACACGACTTCAACTTTGTACTCTTTCCCACTAGTCACTAGTTGGTTTCTGGATAACGGGTCTTTTTCTAATTTGTTAGTGAAGCCAATGGAGACGTTTGTTGCTTCAGAGCAATAGGCATCACAAATAAAATCCTCGCAGATTTTTGTTGGTGGACTTATGCTATTTTCCCCGAAATTTTAAAATGGTTTTTTTTTTATCCTCAAAATCGCTTTAATCAGATAACAATTCAAAAAAATTTGGACCACTTAATTTATTTTCTTATTTTATATATACGGGAGTTCTAAAAATTTAGGTAACTCATTTCTAACCTTATTCCGTAGGTAACGGTCCCCATAATATCAAACTCTGAGTGCCGCATGACGAACTACAAGGAGCGCATAACTGAGAATATGTTGTGCGCTGGTATTGACGATGGCGGTAAGGACGCCTGCCAGGGTGACTCCGGAGGACCCTTGCACATCTTCAACAATAACACCAACACGTGGCAGATCGCAGGTCAGTAAACATCCGGGATAAAACAGATTGACGTTTGTAATGGTTTGTTCCGTCTTAAAAAAAACGACAATGTTGCCATTGCCATTGCAGCGACAGTGTTGCCATCAGCTTTCACTGCCGAATTATCTTTCTTACTTCATAAAAATGCGAATGTTTGGATTTTTGATAGAACCCATCTGGAGGACGTCTTCATGGATTTTGCTAAAATTTGCATAGATGTAGACCGAGGCTTGAAAGAACACAAAAGCTATTAATTTTTTTTAATACCCCGCGAACTGTGTCGCGGGTGACAGCTATAGTGAAATAAATATTAAACTAAAATTAAACATATCTTTTCAGGAGTAGTCTCGTGGGGCGAAGGTTGCGCAAGACCTAAAACGCCTGGTGTGTACAGCCGCGTCAACCGATACCTCACTTGGATCAAAAGCAATACGAAAGATGCGTGTTACTGCGAAGAGAAATACATCAAGAAATATTAACACATTCGATGCTACAACATTCACAATAACGAAGCGAAAAGGTGGTATTGAATGTGTTGACATGAAATCTGTCACACATGTCCGTCCAAAATGACAAGTTAAGAAAATGACATAGATAAAGAAAACAGAGACTGCCAGTAACAAAAAAACATATTTATTTTGTAGGTTGTTTCTATTAGAATTAATTTATATTCATAAAAAGAGATCAACTAGAATAAGTTCTATATTTATTTAGTTTTAAGTTTTTCCATTAATTTAAACAATCATTATTCATCAATAGAAATAAAAGATTTGTTTTTCATAAATGTGTATTATTCTACTTAAATTCGCACTTCAAATCATACTTTGGATGAATGGATGTTTGTTACCAGGTATCTCTAGAATGGATCCATAGATCTTGCTGTAATTTGGCATAGATTATAGTCAGGAAGAAGACATAGTCTATAAACTGCACATGGTGTGGGCGACAGCTAGTTGGTAATAAAAGTCAAATGAAGAAATAATTCTTAGAATTTTGAATGACAAGAACCTATGACTTTAGTTCATAGTGTAGTTTAAAAACTCAAATTATTTCACGCTACTTTGTTCAAAGGGTAATTAGTAAACAAAGAGTTGTTTTCATATTTTATTGCCAATAAATTATACATTAATATTCTATCAAACTTATATATAATATGTTTTTAGATTATAATACTGTTATATGAACCCCAAATGAATGAATTGTACATGAAACTAAGAGCTACATAGAGCTGACTAAATAAAAAAAAATAAGTAAGTCTCACAAATTATCACTGCGTAAGTTTATTTATATTTGTGAAATAAACTTATTAATAAATCACATTCTAATTTTTCTTTTTTTTTTGGGATCTCAGAAATAATCATCTATTTTTTTTATCTTTAATATGTTGAAACAGTTAAAGTGACACTAGCAAAAAGTTTCTTTTAAATTAAATTCACTTTGATTTCAATATTAAATTTAATTTGCCTTAAATGAAGAATCTAAACATGCAATATTAAATTTATAGACTAAAAATGTATGTTTTACATCTTAGGAACTTACAATTTTGAAATCATAAATTTTTTAATTAAAAAAATGTTACAACTTTATGATTAAAAAAAGCAATCATTTCGTTAAGAAGTAATAACCTTTATGTATTTAATGTATCCCATATGATAGTGTTTCCAGGTACAAAATTAGTAAAAGTTTTTAAATAAAGACGCCAACTCGGACAAAATGATACCAGTAGATGCCATAGCATTCAAATTAATGTTGATAGGATCCCTGTTTGGTTCTGTTGTTGTGGTTGTTTCTTCAATGATCTCATTGCCTTTTTTAACTATTTTCCTTGTTTCAATGGAACCATCGGGTTTTGTAACACTAGTTGTTATGATAGTCTGGCAAAAAGACCTACCTGCTGGTGTGTTGTCATAACGATGTGAGGGCACGAGAACATCATCTTTCTTGTTCAACAAGCCCGAAATCTCGTGAGAAGATATTTTACCATCAAGGTCTCCATCCAGACGATCATGTTTTTGATTTTGGTATCCCGGCTTTAAATAATAGTCTCTTATTGAGTTCGTATTGTTATAGTGTTCTGGTTCTTCGCCTACCGGTATATCAGTTATCATAGTATCCAAATTGCTATCGTGAAAGAATGTTTTCATATCTCCGAAGATGCTGCCGAAAGAGTTGAACATATCGTGCATTTGACGGGTTAATTCCCTATGCAATTCCACAGGGTCCGACACGTCCATTTGCTGTCTAGTATAAAATAGGTCGTCGTCATCATCGTCGTCGTCTGTGTTCCAGATAGGATTACGAAAATCATTTCGTGGCGGATCGGTTCGAAAACCAAAAAACGAGCGTACCTTGTCCATAAATGTGTTGTTGCCTTCCATCCTGATATTACTTAGAATTTACTTGACGCCTTCTAAAAACTGTTTACCAAATTGTAAATTGAAAATAAAATGTTATTCGCACTTCTATTATTTATTGTGATTGCGCAACAATACAAAAACGTCAATGTCAACTTGATATAAGTTACAGATTAGCCTTTTCACCACAGAGTACAGACCAAACAAAATGCAAAAAACCAATGAGAAAATCTCGAATGTTCTAGATATTCACCAACGAGGAAAATTTTGATATATCTAGAGGGTAGAGGGATCAATTAATTTGTTTGAGGTCTTCTACTAAATGGTTGTATGTCATTATTACTTCTATGAGCTTTTAAACTTGAAGGAAATCCTTTTAAGTACTCGAGCATGATAGCTGTTCAAGTAAGAACCAACTGGAGCAAAAGATAGCGAGGTCTTAGGTACCTTGATTAAAATTCTCATGATAATTAGTAGGTATATATTATTAGTATGTGTAATTTAATGATTACTACCGTCACCTTCTTGAAAGTTTTTTTTCAGATCAACGTCAATGAAAACTCTAAAAAATTATTTAGAAATCAGAACTAAAATTTTATTTCAAATTTATAACTACAATTAAACACTTTTGGCCATCACTACATTTATTTTACCACATCTAGCTTCTGGTTTTGCCCATTTTGGTGAAGCATAGAAGGTTTGTGACCATTTTCCATTGCCCTTTAATTTTCATCCTTTCCATTTGTCGATCCTATTGGAAGGTGGGAAGCTGCGGAAGCTGTTTAATCTGACAGATCGGCGATCATGCTATGCAGAAACTTACAATATTCTTTATGCCTATTTGTGTCTTGATAAAGTGAAAATTAGATATGCATTAAAAATTATGGATAATTCATATTTCTCTAAAAATAAATAACCAAACAATTTATATTCGGATATGTGGAATGGCATTAAAAAAAATTTACTCAACGTCCTGAAATAAGGTAAAGTTTATTTGATTTTTTTAACATTTTGAATAAGAATGAAGGTACTTAAGTTAACTTTATGAGTAGATTTAAGTTGACATATAAACACTGTTTAATTAAAATCAATTTAATAACCGCGTTGCTTGAGTAAACACGCTTCGTCGCGGTCATTTTGTATGCCATTTATAAATTGATTCCAGTAAGCATGCAAACTAGATTTTTTTTTAATATTTCATGCCCCATAAAGCGGAAGTCTATTGACCAACGTCGTTAAAAACCGGCTTTCTTTCTGTCAGTGTCCATCGAGGAATTTTGCTCGTATTCGTTGTGATAGTTAATTGTGTGTTTAGTTATTGTAGAAAACTTTTTTGTGTTAAAAATGTCCACGGAAATTAGTAACCGGACAGCATTACTTCATAATCAAAGAAATGGTTTGTCTTTTGTCTATTACATGATACATGTTTACAATTTATTATTTCCTAATTTTGAGCAGTTATACTACGCTTGATATTTTTAAATAACATAGATAAAAATAAATTATTATGTTTATATGGAATTAATTTACTTCTAATATGTAAGTGGCCTTTAAATGTCAGATTTTATATTGTTTGACATTTTCTTGTGCAGCTAAATTTAAATAAATGCTTTTACTCATTCAGTTTAGAAATGTGTGCAATATTTGATATGCCATTGAAAACTTTTTTTCAGAACATATAAATCAACATTTGATAATTTGATAAAAGTAAAACTATATATTACTGTGACCCTCTGGGAAAACAAACCATAAAACTTTTGTATATGAAAGCATTCCAAATTCAAAAAGTTATTGATGCCTTTATGAGAAAAAATTATTGTTTCTTACATTAATGAAGAATAACCAACAGTATGTGATTTAACAATATTAATTTTAATAACATACTTTAACAACAAAAATATTGTCTTGCAATTAATTGTTAATTAAAATAATTGCACAATTATATTTTACATTATTTAGGTTTCATAGATTTTATAGGTTTGGAATGTGAAACAAGATAAAAGTCTACTCGGAAGTACCTACTAAATCTGAAATCGTTTTAAGATTTCCATTCTGTCTGATACTGGCATATCTATATTTTCTGCATGCATATTTCTTAAATAAGTAAATATATTAATTATTTATAACCATCCTTTTTCATCAATTATGTCTAAGGATTTATCGGTTAACCAAAAAAGTAAAATATGTATGACTAACTATTGTATGTGAATTTGTCTATTCTTCCAGACGAAGAAGTTCTGCATCCGTGCTAATTAATTGAGATCCATTACCCGTAGCAATCCATCTTTTAAAACTTTTCATTTATAATATTTGTAACATAGTAACTTATTATGGACCTAGTACCATTAAAAGGGTAGTTAAAAGGGATAAAACAAAACTTCTTATCTGTTAAAAGACCATTTAATCAATTCACACACCTTAGTAGTTTATTACGAAATGATTTATGGCGTATAAAATTTTATTTTAGTATCGTTCCTGTAACTCCCTCTAATGACGTCAAATATAAACCTTTGACCTTTTAAGTTCAATACTGTAGATATTAACAGAAAAACGCGCTCTAATTCTGACTGAAACATTATAAATTGGATGCATACAAGCGCTGGTAAAAGGGGGACACTGTTAATAAATTGCAGTCAATTGATTCGTGTGGGAATCGTCAACTTGCTGGCAACTGCTGTTTTATAACTAAGAAAACGTATTGTCATCGCATTTTTTATCAAGGAAAATGATAGGGACAAAAAATAAATAGTTCTCAGATTACATTGCCTCGAAATACGTCGCCAAAATATCTCTGTTTTTCATAGATAAATAAAATTTGTTCTACGTATTACGCAGTTAAACTTACGTATAGATTAGTTTTAATACCTCTCAGATTATGCCACGACTCCTTAGCGCAAATAATCTTCTAAACGAATCCATTGGGATTTCTAATTGACGATGGTTTGAGCCCTTTAAATCAATTAATCGTAGTTAGAGCTATTTAAATCTACTTAACTACTTGGTAGCGTGACTGTCGTTAACAATTCGTGCTGTTGTTTTTCTGCAAATTATACTGCGTCATGTTTATTTTGTCGCCGGTTGGCTGAACAAAGTAATCACTTGTCATATGTTATCTTCCTTGAATATAACAAAATTACGAACATTGCGTTGTCAATTGAAAAAACGTATGTGCGTTGCGAGACGTAGTTCAAATGATGTTAAGAAATTGAGGAAGTATTATGTACGTGTAGGTTTTGCACCTGTAAAATCAAAATCCTATGTTATCCAATAAGATGTTAAAGGCTTTGTTTAGAATAAAAATACTTTTTTTTTGTTTTAAATATTTTCATGATTAAACCGATGGATATTTTAATAAAACTAGAAAGCATTTGAAATGGGGTCGGGAGTCGCACCGCTATACTTTATTGGATTCTCACGTATTCACGTCTGGGGACAATCAGAATAGATGGAGCCCCTCTCGCAGTCACTGTATACATACGAATCTTACTAATATTATAAATGCGAATGTTTGTATGGATGGATGTTTTTTTGAAGATATCTTCATAATAGCTGCATTGATCGCGTTGAAATTTGGCATAGATGTAGAACATACTAGAAGAAGTTGCGGGCGAGAGCTAGTACTTTATAAACAGTTATAGTTTGCACAAAATCGAGACAAATCCATCGAGACTTCCGATGTAGAGTTACATCTATTATGTGATGTTATCACTTTCTTCGGATTGGTGGTAAAGATTAATTTTGATATAGGAAATATTGACTAATTGTGTAGTTGAAGTACTCAGTTACGACATAAAATAACTGATTTAAAATAACTAATAATAATTTACTAGTTAAAGTCCGAAAGGTCCTTATAACTATCATCCGCTTATAATTCATGTACGACGTTAAACGATTAGTTTAATTGGCAATCATTTAATCTGCATTTCCATATGTTGGTAACGTCAATCTATATACATATAAAAATCAATTGCTGTTCGTTTGTGTCGCTAAACTCGAGAACGGCTCAACGGATTTATCTTATCTTGGTCTTGATATGTTTGTGGAGATCTAGAGAAGGTTTAAAAGGTGAGAAAAATTCGAATGATTGCCGGGAACTAAGTTTTTTTTTTAATTCTACGCGGACGGAGTCACAGGCGAAAAAGCAATGTTCTTACACACTAGAAGAATACTTTCAATGACTACTTACACTAAAATGCTTCAAATACTAAGAATATTGGATAATATTTAACTACTTTTTTAGGGTTCCGTACCTCATAGGAAAAAAACGGAACCCTTATAGCAGTGGTTTCCAAACTTATTTTGTCTACTGCCAACTTTGAGAATAAATATCTTTTTAGCGCATATTTAAAAACCAATATAACTTCAAATTAAATTAATTAATTATTGTGACCTATATATGTATATTAACGGAGAATTCTTAACGAAACTTTTACTATGACCCGCAACTTGAAACCTGCAGCGCCCACAAGGGGGCGTTATCGCCCACTTTCGGAAAGACTGCCTTATAGGATCACTTTGTTTCTGTTTTTGTTTTATCGTTATATAATATGTTTGTACAAGTATTTCGTGATAAGAAAATTTTATGCCTCAACGCCCGGAAAAGGCAAATTGTGCAAATAAAAAAAATATTTTTACATCTTAAGGAAACTGTTCTAAAGTATGTATATTTTAAATAATAACAAGAATCACATTTTTTGTTAGTAATACGCATTACAGATTTTATAATGCAAATGCGTTTGTATCGTGCGGTTATTACACGCTGGAAAACCCAAAGGGGCCATTGTGTTGAACATGAATAATATAGTTGTCGTGATTTTGAATGTTAAATGTCTGATGCACATATTTAAGTAGCCTTGATTAAATCTTGACTTATGTCGCACGTAGAAACGTTAATTGACCTTTAATGTAAGTTTTCTTACACATAATATTGTCCAATGATCAATATCAGTGACAAATCAAATACGTTTCGGAAATGACACTTATTTTCTAAATTATTTAAAAAAATTATAATCGAAAATCTTACTAATGCTATAAAAAAGAATGTTTGGATGTATGGATGGAGCATAGATGGTTATTTGTTTGTTAAAAGGTATCTCTAGAACGCATCAACGGATCTCAATAAAATTTGTGGATGGATGTAGAACATAATCTGGAAGAAAGTAAGGCTACTAAAGTTGAACTGCACGCACGGAGTCGCGGGCTTAGTATGAGTTAATGTATTAATTCTCTGCATACTTTTGCACGCGGTATAGATTTAATTCAATGTTTTTTTCTATGTGAACCTTTTTTTAAGGTCTTTCACCCTACTTTTGTAAAATAATAATAACATGCGTGACAAATAACTGTTTATAATGTATGGTATGAAAGTAGAATGCTTGTTCAGTTTTCTTAAACAACTGCAGCGATATAATTTAATAAACAGCTCAATAACGTTGATAATAAAAACAATGCCAAAGGTTGGTGTAAGATATGTTATATATAAAATTCTCGTGTCACAATTTTCGTTCCCATACTCCTCCGAAACGGCTTGACCGATTCTCATGAAATTTTGTGAGCATATTGAGTAGGTCTGAGAATCGACCAACATCTATTTTTAATCCCACGCGGACGGAGTCGCGGGCGACAGCTAGTCTTATATATAAAATTCTCGTGTCACAATTTTCGTTCCCATACTCCTCCGAAACGGCTTGACCGATTCTCATGAAATTTTGTGAGCATATTGAGTAGGTCTGAGAATCGGACAACGTCTATTTCTAAGCCCGCGTGGACGGAGTCGCAGGCGACAGCTAGTTATTTTATAGATTTTTGTTTTCACATCATAAAGTAAATGAAGCGAACTTAAAAATATTTTAAAATGTAGTAGCAGGAAAATTTTCCAACTTAGTTGATTAACCCTGATTCTAATATAATATTGTTGCTATCATGTATGCAAAAATAAGAAAACTCAATGGGATGATTACAATTTGCCCCATTTTATTCTTATTCACACTAAGCATACAAAGAGTTCCTTGATTACAAGTAAATGGTTAGTGATTGCGTAGTAATTTATACGATAAGCTTCTCTTTATTTGTTTGCGCTATCTTTTATTCTTGTAAGAGAATTCTCGTATATTACTCGTATAATTTTTTATTTACATTATAATTTAAATAATAAATATATTTCTCACTGTCTAACTGAAGGTTTCTGAGTTCATAATCTCCGTTCAAAACATATGGTTATATCTGTGTTGTCAAAAAAATAATTTATATAGAGAATTTGGTCTTAGAAACCCACGGTTAAATAATCTAAGCTTCAGCTGATTGATACTTAAGTGTGAAAGAAGAGGAATGTTGACCTTTTGTTATCAGGTAATGTGTAATGCATATGTAACCGATAAGCAAGTCTACGGAAATGTA